GTTATACGGTTGACTTGCAACCGTATAATATTTTAAGGTATGACCATGCTGATGATTTGGATTTGGAGTGCGTTACCAGTCAGAGATATGAAGTTATACTGATGTCTGATTTGTCATAGTCCTTTAAATGACACGGGCTGTCCACGCCACCAAACGTGTGTAACATGGATGGCTCAAAATCGCTTCATACGTAACTGCTTTCACAATCCCTGTTTGACCTGCCCTTATTTGTCTACATCAATTCGTATTTTGAGAGCCCTCCCGAATTGTTCTTTGCATTAACTATTATATAATTTATCGTAAATATTTTCAGCAATATGAATTTCAATCGTCATTCAAAATTCCTGACCAATGTGGTGGTAATGTTAATTTTGATGGTCTTATTGGCGATTGGATCGTTGAGGAAAGTGTTTGCAAATTTGGACGATTCACAATTCAAACGAAATCCAGGTTTATCCGGCAATGCCGCGACAGGAGTCCGATTTAATGCAACTGCGGCCGGGAGTGGCCGTACGAATCGGACCGGAAATGTACGTCATAATATTCCGACAGAAGACGATGTGTTGAGTTGGTCAGTGGAAGCACCACGATTTGCGTGCGACGAAAATAACTCAGCGAGTTACATGGTTTATTGTCAAGGTAGTGGAATTCTTACGATCCATTGCTCTGCAAAGAGAACCCCACATTTTCATACGTCCATCAACCACTTTTTAGACTCAAGATGCGGCTGGAGTACTCTTTACTTTTCCAGTACAATCGAAGAGTCTGTAAATGAACAAGTCTTGTTCCATGAGGCAGCCTAATTTTCTGATGAGGAAACATTAAAATATGCGTTAATTGTCTCGAATAACGAGTAAGATAATGCATCCTTGATGCACTTTTGAAGCAATTTGGGATTGGAAAAATCAAGTTTCGGCGACAAATATCTCAGGATCTAAAGTGCATCATCACCAAGCTTTTTATCTCATTCTCCAAATAAATAATGCTCTAGATATTGTTATTGAGTCCTTGTTGCAGGCAAATTATTGCATGCAGTAGCAATGTTGAACATTTTCAAAGATTCAAAAACATTTGTGGATAAGCCGATGAAACGTGATCCAGAAGATATTAATGAGGACTTCAATAAGCATTTCAATCATCAGATCACAACGAATGATCGAGAGGCTGTGCGATCGTTTCTTGAAGAGAATTTCGGCAACCAAGGCGATGATTTGAGCGAGTTAGTGCATATTTGCCGCACCACCAATCCGCATTGTTCAGTCATGAATTAAGAAATATAATAATGGTAAATTCAACAAAATCACCTTTAAGAGATCATAAAAAAAACTCCCATGTTTCGTTCAATGCAATATCTGTTCTAGCCGGTTCCAAGGATGTTTTCATGAAAAAAGTGGGCATTATTCGTGATGTATCGTGGAGTGTTCTTTGGAGAATCAGCAGTTGTTTGATAGATGAAAACGTGTGAATTAATGCATCAAAATGTGTGAGTGAATCTATTCCAAGCTGCCATCGGTAGTAACAATATGCACTCGACAAACAGGTGTCCCGAAGGAACGATGTCAGATTGGCTTGATGATCCGGAATATTTGATTTCAATTGACGATGACGAAATGCGTCGATTCGCGTTGGAAATTCATGCGTTATGGAAGAAGCTCTGTCGAACGGTCAAAAATGAGGTTGACATTTGATCACTCTACATCCATATTGAATAGCAGCATTGTGCGATGCTGGAACATCACCCATCAATGAATGCATTATGAAGCGAATGCTGATCAAATAAGTGAATATTATTCATAAATATCTGGGTCAATTTGTTACTTTACTGTACTGAAGTGACTGTTGTGAAATTAATTTCAGGTGAAGACAAATCCGAAAAGATATTCATTATTGTACGTTCCAAACGAGTTTATAATTCCTGGTGGACGTTTCCGAGAGTTGTATTATTGGGATTCATATTGGGTGGTTAAGGGACTCATTGCCTCAGGTTTCTTTCATCGCTTATTTCATGACACCATGGGAATATTCTTTTTCATAGATTAGTTCTGCAAAAAGTTAGTCGGATGAAATGATGAGCGATTTTCTCGCTTTATTTCTTCCGTGAATTTCAAGCATTTATTTGCTATCCAATGGGTACTCTCTGAGAACAACATCACAAGGTGAACATTACATAGAACTGAAATTATTTATTCTTCATCCAGCCTTTCTTCCTTTTGATCATGCTCTGCAATAGATAAAGACTGTAATAGATAAACTTATAGTGAGAACGGTTTGTTTCGTATTCTCAGTGAATT